ACCCAATTTGTTTTAAAGAGGTGGAATTACATGGAGGCTTCTTCAGAGCAATTTGAGCATAATTAAAATGGCAGGGAAGGTTTGTGCAAATGCAACATTATTTTTTGTTAACCCACCAAAGTGAATTAACCTGTGACAATTTAGAAAGTTGATAGTATGTCATTTTCACTCTGGACTATTTCTACAATTAATAAAGATTAAGTGTTAGTATTCTAGTATTAGTATCGCTTTATAAAGCCTTAGTAAGGCCACACCTGGGGTACTGCCTCCAGTTTTGCTCACCACTTTATAAAAAAGATATTGAGACTTTAGAAAAAGTGCAAACAAGAGCAACTAAGATGATTAAAGGCCTGTGTAGACTAAAACATATGAAGAACAGGATTGCAGGATTTGGCTAGTCTAGAGAAAAGAATGACTAGTTGTGATATGATAGCAGTATTCCAGTATTTGAGAGGTTGCCACAAAGAAGAGGGGGTCAACTTATTTACCAAAGCACCTGTAGGCAGGATAAGAAACTATGGCTGGAAACTAATCAAGGAACGAAGCAACCTGGAACTCGGGAGAAACTTCCTAACAGTGAGGACAATTAGCCAGTGGAACAGCTTGCCTCCAGAAGTTGTAGGTGCTTCATCACTAGAGGTTTTACTGGACAGCCACTTGTCTGAAATGGTCTCCTGCTTGAGCAGGGGGCTGGACTAGAAGACCTCCAAGGTCCCTTCCAGCTGCATTCTGATTGAGATCGAGATAATATATGGTATAGATACATTATTTAATGCTTGTATTTTGAGAAATAATTCATCTGTACAATATCTCCGGTCTGGAGCAGCTCATTACACCATCAGTGTATGATACAAGCTGCAGCTTACTATTGGCTCTTCACAAACTGCTGCAAATTTATATATATATATATATATATATATATATTTCTTGTTAGCCTGAGAAAATTAGGTCCTTTTTCTTTTACCTTGCCATCAGTGACTGAGCATTTAAGTGAGTGTATCCAATTTCTTTGGATACGTTTTCTGTAATTAGAGGTATACTTTGCTGTTTCCTTGCTTTTAGCTGAGTTTTGATCAGTTGTGGAGAAGTCCGGAAATCTTTACAGGTTCGTTTCGTTGATGTACACAAAAGTTGCTTTGCAGCCTGCAGAGAAGCAACCTCCCCTCCACTACCAACAGAGCTCACCTTGCACCATTTGAACTTTTCTGTGCATTTGTTAATTGTTACAAAATATTAACTCTGAAAAAAATTGCCAATTAAGATAATGGGATAAAATCCAAAGAAATATAGAAAAATGAATGAATTATACCAGGGCTGTCAAACTCCCGGCCTGCAGATGGATGCGTCACACACGGGCCATACCCACGCTTGGTTTAGCGAAGTGGGGAAAAGTCCTGATACATCACATGATGACATAAGTTTGACACCCCTGGATTTTACTGAATTGGGAGGGAGATATTGGAAATGTATTGCATTTTTTTTTTTACAATGAAGATAAGGGAGAATCTAATTAAGGAGTGATCAAAGCACTTAGGGGAAGGGGCAATAAGATTAGTGAATGCCAAATTTGAGAGAGAAAGTGATCACTCATTGGCTTATATTCTCTGCCATTTGCAATTCACTAGCATGAGCTTAACAAAGTTTGGCTCAAGATTCTCTGTGTGAGCCCCTGAGTCTCATACATATGGGCAACATAGTACACCAAGAGTTTTGCAGCTGTAGAATAGAATAGAATTCTTTTTTGGCCAAGTGTGGTTGGACACACAAGGAATTTGTCTTGGTCAGAGGTGGTATTCAGCAGGTTCTGGCCAGTTCTGGAGAACCGGTAGTGGAAATTTTGAGTAGTTCAGAGAACCAGCAAATACCACTTCTGACTGGAGATTTTACAGTATCCTTCCCCTGCCACGCCCACCAAGCCGTGCCCACAGAACCGGTAGTAAAAAAATTTGAATCCCACCACTGATCTTGGTGCAAATACTCTCAGTATACATAAAAGAAAAGATACATTCGTCAGGAGTCGAGAATCATAAGGTACGACACTTAATGATAGTCATAGGGTACAATAAGCAATCAAATCATACTAGGAAACAGTCCATATAAATCGTAAGGATACAAGCGACAAAGTTACAGTCATACAGTCACAAGTGGGAGGGGATGGGTGATAAGGAGTGATGACAAGATTAACAGTAATAGTAGTGCAGACTTAAGAACAACTAGAGGAAAGTTGATAGAATGTTAGTTGCAAATACTTTGCTGAACCAAAGTATCTTGGTGTGGCAGAGTTCTTATACTATAAGATCCAGACTCCTAGTGGTTAATTTTTAATATAATACTAATTTTATGAAGAATTTGTGTTTGAAAAGTGCTAATTAATTGCATGTTTCCAGATGAAATTTTAGATTGCAATCTTTATTTCCTTTATACTCTACAAAATAGAAGGAGCAGTTATGATTGCTCAGTTGCCTGAGTGATGAGTGGTGGCTGAGTTGGAGGCAGGGGAAGGGACATTGGATCAATGTACTTCAATTATGTTAAATCAAATATTTAGATGAAATCAGTAACCTCACAAATATATACAACATTTACAGAATATGTGAAATAAGGGTAAGAATATTTATTCTGAAGAAATTCAGGGCCAGGCCAAGTCATTTTACTGCCTGAGGTAGAATAACAAATGGTGACCTTCTCCTCAAGTCACAATATATAATATCTTTAACTGAGTAATTAATTCTGGCACTTATGAGAAACTCCCACAACTATCTTTCTCTAGCAGGAAAAATATATACATATTTTATTAAATGATAAACAATGTGCTTCCTTTTCATGACATCCAGAATCATTTGTCCAACTCAGCTATCACTATGTGCCTAATAGTAGGGCTGGCTGGCCCTGCAGCAATTTAAAGCAGGATCAACAGAATTAGTATAACAAGATTGTTATAAAGATAACATGATATGTGCAAAATGCCTTTTATTCTAAATCAGTGTAAAGTAAGGATTATTATTATTATAAAAGGCCCTTCCACTCATTTTATTCTATTTATCTGATGCATGTTTAGTTCTTTAGGCATCATATATGCTTATTTTAGACCACCTCTTTGGCTTTAGTTCAGTTAACTTGTCAGGTAGCCTTATTTTATAATGGAATATCTGTTTTCTCTGAGGCTGGAGAGAAATTATAAGCTTTGCCCCTTCTTGGACGAATGTTTCATTTCAGGCATTCCTAGAAACTCTAATAACGCTGGCATGGGAAGGGGCTGTGCTCAAAATCCCTCCAAGGTACCTTAACATTATGACATTAGTCTCAAGAGACATATCTTTAGCTGGTCTTGAAATAGTCATTTATTTCATCTGGAAAATAATAGCAATAGCACTTATATACTGCCCCACCATAGTGCTTTACAGCACTCTCTGAGCGGTTTACAAATGTCAACATATGGCCCCCAACAATGTGGATTCTCACTGAACCAACGTTGAAAAGATGGAAGGTTGAGTCAACCTCAAGCCCCTTCAAGATCAAATTCTAAGCTGTGGGCAGACTTAGGCTGCAATACTGCATTCTAACCACCCTGCGCCACCAGGGGTAAACTTCACTGTTATTCTAATAACATATCTGAAATGCTCTTTTGAGTATTAGTTGATTTGCTCTAGATATGTTACCAATGGTTACCACTATCTTGCTATCTTCACACCTGAATGTCCATCCCAATTCAATATATATGGTGACCTGTCACCCGAGTCTTTTTGACTTAACCAATAAATCTATATGTCCAATTGTACTTCCTGTCTAGTTTTCTTCCTCAGGTGAGAATTTAATTGATAGCCTCCTTGGATCCAATGCTGTGTTTTGGATTATGACAATACAAAGATGCATAATACAGTGTTGAATATCATTGAAGTATTATGTTGATGAAGTTCTGCATAAAATACACTTTGAAAAACTCCCTTAATATGCTAAACTGACTTTTATGAGAATTATTATATGAAATTATCCCTCAATGAGAGGCTAAGTGGTGTGCTATAAGGTTCAGTCCTGAGCCTGCTGTTTTCAGTATTTTATTTAGGCTTTGGATGAACAGAAGTGTTCACAACTAACCATAGTGACTTCAAAAGAATGAAATGTTCATTGGGATGTCATAGATAGATAGATAGATAGATAGATAGATAGATAGATAGATAGATA